TGTGGAAGTTGGCATTTTGGAAGAATTTCATAAATTTGGATTGAGGTGCAATTCAATGTTATCGATGTCCGTTTGGGATTCCGAGCTAGGAATAGCTCCGTATGGTTATTGAGGTATTGGGAGCGCGTCCGGAAGTGGATTCGGAGGTCCGAAGGTCATTTTGGAGTCATTTGGCTAAAGCTAGAAATTTGATGGTTTTTGAGAAGTTTGACCGGAAGTGGATTTTTTGATATCGGGGTCAGAATCCGATTCCGGAAGTTGGAGTAGGTCCGTAATGTCAAATTTGACTTCTGTGCAAAAATTGTGGGGTTTTGGTAGGAAACCTAGAAATTGGTATTCTTGGATTTTGATCACGAAATTTGGCATAAAATGGAGAATAAATTATATATTTGAGATCGTGGGGTTATGGGTAAAGTTTATCTTCGAATATTTTTGGAATTCGGGCACGTTGCCCCGAGGGTGTTTTTTATCGACTTTTCGAACGAAGTTGAGAATTATTATAAATTGAATTATAATGAGTATTAGAGTAAATATTTATAGATTTGCTCATTTTTGACTAGTTTTGGAGCGTTGGACATCGATTTGAGTTGATTGAATGGCTTGGGAGCCGGTTATGAACTTCGGAGCGAGGTAAGTCTCCCTTCTAACCTTGTAAGAGGGAATTAATCTCATAGGTGAATTAAACAAAGGTTTGTATCTAATTGTGGGGGCTACGTACATACGAGGTGACGAGAGTCCGTACGTAACTATTATTATGCTAATGTCCGGGTAGTTTAGGACCCGTATCATGCTATACTTGGAATGTTTGTGCCCTTACTTGCTAATATAATCACTTAGTCATGATAGAAACTGATAAAAGAATTGTATAAAGTTAAATTCACTTACTTGAATGTTTGTATAAGATACTTGACTGTAAATGAGAAACTTGTGTTTTCTTGAAAATAAATGTTATTTGTGGATCGGGCCGAGCGCCTCGGTAATAAATAGATGCATCTATGGTTCGCGCCATTCGACCCTCTGGCAGTGCACAGTTTAAATATTTGTTAGATCGGGTCGTACGACCTCGTCATGATTTGCGCATGCTTGTATTGCTTGCCTTGAAATTTATAAATAACGATGTTGCCTCCCTGGTCTGAGATAAATTGATAAATTGATATGACCTCATTGGCCGGAGATATAAATTGTTAAAAGATGAAAATAAATTTGGAAATCCCTTATTAACAAGAGAACTATTTACCTGTCTCATGTTATTGTGTTCACCGATGCTTTATAAAAATCCATAATTTATCATATCATTGGTATATTGATTATAGCCCATAGTAAGTGTCCGAGTCGGCCCCTTGTCACAACTTCTTCGAGGTTAGAAGGGATACTTATTGGGTACGCGTTGATTTACGTACTCATACTACACTTGCTGCACATTTTGTGCATGTACATATATGACTAGTGGCCTTGTGGGCGCAGAGGCGCAGTCTTACGGGGACTTAGGTGAGCTGCAGCTTATGTACGACCCGCAACCAGCAGAGTCTCTTTCAGAGTATTGTATTGTCTTCCTGTCCAAAGTTGTATTCCGGACAATTATTGTATTTTATTTTAAATTCCTAGAAAATGCTCATGCACTTGTGACACCGGGTTCTGGGATGAGTATGGGGTGTTCAGCATTGAAATTTGGAAAACATTGTTAATTATTGTGTAAAATTCATCTTTTGCTAGTTAAATTGAAGTAAATTTACGATTTCAAAAATATTAAAATGAGGATTTAATTAACTATTTAGTGTTGGCTTGCCTGACAGTGGAGTCTGGAGCCATCACGACCTTTAACGAATTTTGGGTCATGACAGAATAGGTCTGTGATGTCATTTGGGACTTGTGTGCAAAATTTGAAGTTGTTCCGGATTGATTTGATATGTTTCGGCGCAAGTTGTAGAAGTTGAAAGTTCATAAGCTCATTAAGTTCGATTTGAGGTGCGATTCATAGTTTTGATATTGTTTGATCTTATTTGAGGCCTTGAGTAGGTCCGCGTTATGTTTTGGGACTTATTGGTATGTTCGGACAAGGTCCCAAGGGGTTCGGGTGAGTTTTGAATAGGTTTGGGTTGTGTTATGCTTGTTTTTGATGTTTCGACTTCGTTTCTTCAAGCATAAATGGTATCACATTAAGCTAATAAGCTCCAATTTCTATTTTTAAGAAATATTAGATATGTATCATAATTACGGAGCCATAGCAAAAAGAATCGTTGAATTTGGACATCGTATGAGGAAGTTATGCTCATTTTAGTGTCGGAGAAGAGAGCTAGTGATGTTGCTTCGCTGATGCGAAGTTGGGTCCGCATCTGCTACCCCGTAGGTGCGAATATTGGTCCGCAAAAGCGGAAATTATAGCTGAAAATGTGCAGGTGCGAATATTTTGTCGCAAAAGCGAAAATCCTTGAGTATATAAAAATCAGACCGCGTTATTTTGGTATTTTGGGCATATCTTGAGTTCTAGAGGTCCGTTTGATGTGATTTTTGCGGTGTTGTTCTCGTCTCAACAAGAGGATAAATATATGACCTTTATTTTGATGTTTCTCCATGATTATTTCCGTTGGTTATTATTTTTATCCGTATTTGAATTGTAAAAATTGGGATTTTGAGCCCCAAAGTTGAGAAATGGTAAATCCTTGATTTGAGGTCGATTCATGGATGAAATTGGATAATTTTATGGATATATACCATATGAGTTATGGATAATATTTATTTTTGAAAAAAATCAAAATTCGGGCACGTGGGCCTGAGGGTCGACTTTATTGACTTTTCGAGCGGAGTAGGGGATTGTTATAAATTGATTTATTATGAGTATTAGAGTATATTTTTATTGGTTTGCACATTGTTTGACTAGTTTTGGAGCGACGGGCATCGATTTGAGGTGTTTGAGTGGTGTTGGAGCCGGTTATGGAACTTCAGAGCGATGTAAGTCTCCTGTCTAACCCTGTAAGGGGGAAACCACCCCTAGGTGATGTAATTATTATGTGCTACTAGTTGTGGGTGCTACGTACGCACGAGGGTGACGAGAGTCCGTACGTAGCTAGATTCATGTTATTGTTTAGGTAGACATAGGCTCACACCATGCTATAGTTGTACTATTTGAACAGTCTCTTGCCTATTTAATTCCTTTATTTTTTTTGTTACGACTTGAGACTAGATTTGTGTGGAGTGATAGACTCGTTATTGTAGAGATCAGACAAACTTTATGAATTGCCACAGAATAATTGTACTCCTCCGATGAATTTTCCCCGCGTTACGCATTCTTATCGAAGGGCTTTCCCCAAAGCTTTCCTAAAACTCTCATGTCCCTTCGTGAGTGGGGTCAAGGACCCATCAAAACTTTTTTATTCTGATGGGATCGGGCCATTCGCCTCGGCAGGATAGGTACATCTATGGTTCGTGTCGTTCGACCCTCGACAGTGTGCACACTTTATGGGATCAGGTCGTTCGCCTCGGTAGGATTATGTACCACACTCTCATGGGAGAGGGCCGTTTGCCTCGGCAATGTATATAATATATGTATCTATGGTTATATACCAGATTATGATGGGATCGGGCCGTACGCCTCGACATTTCTATAAAAATCCTTCTATGGAATCGTGTGTATTAATTGTACAAAGGGCTAGTATATATGTACTCCGGGGGAGGAGGTGACTGCTAATCGCGAGTTGAGTTTATTGTTGAGAGGAAGAATGTACCACATATTTATATTTGTTTAATTTGCATATTTATTCTGCCCCATATCTGTTTTACTTCTTACTGTATTTGCCTTATTGGCTCACTAGTAAGCGTCAATGTCGACCCCTCGTCACTACTTCTCTGGGGTTAGGCTAGATACTTACTGAGTACGCATTAATTTACGTACTCATGCTACACTTGCTGCATATTTTTGTGCAGGTACATATATGTCTGGCGGTCTTTTGGGCGCAGAGGCGCGAATGTTGAGGGGACTTACCGTGAGCTGCATTTTATGTTACGATCCGCAGCCTGCAGAGTCTTCATCAGAGTTATTTATACTCTCCTATCTAATTTGCATTTCAGACAGAGGTTGAATTGTATTATATTTCCTAGTTGATGCTTATGTACTTGTAACAATGGGTTTTGGGGGTGCTTATGAGTGGTTTATTGTTGTAGTCGTGAACATATTATCAGTTACCATGTAAAATTCTATTTCTTACTACTTAATTGATGAAATTTTGATTTCAAAAATACTAGAATGAGTAATTGAGTTAATCATCCACTGTTGGCTTGCCTGACGGCGGTGTTAGGCGCCATCATGACCTTTAGTGGATTTTGGGTCGTGACAGCCCCGATCCTGGCCTCTCGCAGCTCTAGCAGGGGGCGCGGGTGTCTGATCGTCAGATCCAGCTATGCGTGTCCTCACCATTTGTGAGAGAATAGAAAGACAAAGATTTAGAATTCGAAGTCAACAAATTTGCACGATAAGGATCAAAGAAGTGAAGCTTTTCCTAATATTTCCATAACCTTTTGAAGATAAGTACAGGCGTCTACGTCCCGATCCGCGAGACTCTACTAAACCTGCTTGTGACTCGTAATACCTATGAACCTAGAGCTCTGATAGCAACTTGTCACGACCACAATTTCTCTCCGTAGGGACGACGCCTAGTCTCTAAGACTAGGTAAGCCTAACAATACATAAAATAATTGAAATAATAATAAATGAAATCCTCAAACTCAACACCTATATATAAAACAATGATTCAACTCAGCATATACAAATCTTGAGATCCGGTAAAAATACACACTACAACAAAAAAGGCATTTAGTGGCAATTATTTAGTGGCCATAACTTAATTGCCGCTAATTTATTTTGTATAGACCAATATTAGTGGCAATTGAATATTTGCCGAGAATAAATACTTTTTACCGGCAATTAAAAAAACTTGCCACTAAAACTTCTACTTTTTAGTCTTTAACTATAACTCTAACAATTTCAAGAGCGGAACCTTTTTTCACAATCCCTCCAAATTATTTTTCATTTTCCTCCTTAATATTAATTAACTATTTTTTTATATTTTATTCATCAATATCCTAGAGGAATGACAAATGAAAATCAACTGAAACCCTAGCACTCAAAATTCATCTCTATTTACTGCAGGATCGATTACTCTGGTACTTATCATTAACTTCATCTTCTTTATTTTTTGACTACTACTTGAGAAAGATTCATTATTTTTTTAATAAATTAATGAAGAACATCAAAAGAGTTTGAGGCTCTGTTGTTGCATAGTTGTTGCGCTTCTTCTTCTGCATCGTCACTCGAGGAATCCATGCTATTTTTCTGAAATTGAAGGAGCCAAAAGTTGCACCTCTGAGCTTAAGGTCCCTTCTAATCTCTTTTGTTTTATGTATTATGATAAATGGAAAATGTCTATTAGAGATTTTTTAAAATAATTTTTTGCATCAGGTGCTTTGTGAATTATTATTGATTTTCTAGAGAATTTATTTTTCTTTGATTTTATAGTCATGTTCTTTTGGCTGTTGAATTCATTGTCTCATGAGATTTAAATTTTCTCTCGGAATATTGTAGATCTGAAGAAGAAGAAAATATTAAGAAACTTTAGCTAAAAGGAGTAGTAAGAAAGAAAGCTTCAAAATGTTAGTGAATACAAAGAACTTTGGATATGTAGTTTCTCTAAATAGTCTGAAAAGTTTGATTGTTGCTAACTAAATATGCAGATAAAACAAAAGGAGAAAGAAAAATAAAGTATTTTATTTAATAATTACCAAACAAATCAAATATGCAAATTGGAAAGCCAAGGTTGAAATCTTAAGCAATATTTACTCTAGCCATGTAAATCGGGAGTATCAATTTGTTCTTTTGATGTATTATTTATTAAAATTGCTATCCTCAAACAAGGGATTATTGGGTAGGTTCATATGAATTCTTCATATTAGGAGTTAAAAGAGATAAAAATTAAAAAGATATCATGTTTTAACCTATATCTTATCAAGAGGTTATTTGTTAGATGTATTATTACCCCTCTACAATATCTCAATATTCTAGAAGTTATGTATGCACAAACGTACTTTGTTCTAATTGGTTTTCTAGAATAATGTAGCTCTCATGAGAGTTAACGGCGGAAGATAGTAAGAATAGTAAGAATTTTATTGTTGTGATTGGTGATATACTGTTTTATTTTCCTTCTTGCATAGATAGATCAGAAACTATCACACGATACTAGGGAAGCTATTTATAGTGTATTGCAAAAGCTAAATACTAATCTTCTTGTACTAAATTTTCATGAAACTTGAAAGCTTAAAAGATTGTTTTCTATCCATGATGTTGTTGTTGCTGCAATTGTTGGATAGGTTTATGCTGCTGAGAATTACTTAGTTCGTCTTTAATGGGATTAGTTTTATTGTTAATTGGTCTTCTTATTCTCCTCAAGATTCTTATGTCTATATCATCAAGATGATGTTCGATAGAGAAAAATTAGTTTGTAACATGATGATCGGCACAGAGTTTGGTGGAGATTTTCTTAAGCTTGCATTGGAGGTAGGTTTAAACATTAAAATACTTAAGATACTTATCTGGTCCGCTTGTCTCCTAATGTGTTGATATTTATAATAGGTTCTCTGTAACGACCCGACCGGTCGTTTTGAACCCTAGCGTGTCGTTCGGCAGTTTGAGGCCATGAGTAGCTTCACTTTAGGTATTATGACTTGTTCGTGTGGTCGGAATTGAATTTCACTACAAAAAATTCGGCAAAAACCGACCAAGGTCGACCGACCAACTTTGGTCGGTCAAAAAACCGACCAAAAAACCGACCAAAGTTGGTCGGTTTCTTGAAACATAAATTTTGCGGGACTCAAAAATAGTTTCCCGCATTTTTGCGCCAAAGAAAACCGACCAAAGTTGGTCGGTTTTTCAAAATATTTTTTTTTTAATTTTTTTTTTTCAAACCGACCAACTTTGGTCGGTTTTCTTTGGCGCAAAAATGCGGGAAACTATTTTTGAGTCCCGCAAAATTTATGTTTCAAGAAACCGACCAACTTTGGTCGGTTTTTCAATTAAAATAAATAAAAATTAATATTAAAAAAACCGACCAAAATTGGTCGGTTAATTCGGCGGGTCATTTAAAAAAACCGACCAACTTTGGT